CGAGGCCTTGGGTGCTTGGGCGAGTTTATGAGATCCACGTGTCGTTGTACGAGTGGAGGGTCAGATATGGTACAAACAGTGTGTAGCAGTTCGGCTCTCAGTAAACACCTGCACATATATGTACAAGAGATTGTTTGAAATTAAAAATGCTTCCAGGTTAATTATTATATATGTCGCTAGCTAAAGGACATATACAGGGTTTATAATTACTCAACAAATATAGTCCGAACCAAAATAACTTACCATGTTTTTACCGGCAATCACATTGTTGCTCCATGGCAACATCGATCTATAGTTACTCAACGAATATGATCCGAACCGAAAATAATCTACCGTGTTTTTATAGGCAACCCTATTGTTGCTCCATGCAAGCAGCCGGCCATGGACCTGACCGTCCTTGTTCGTGCCCTTGTACACAACAGTGGCAACAGATCCTTCAGGCGTTCCAAGTTTTTGGACATGTAGAAAGGCACCCCACTGCCCATTTGCAATGAGTGCAGGGTAGGGGGAGGGTCCAATTTGCCCACACCAGTCCTTACTTATAGAATAGGTTAAGGTCTCCCCAGTTGCATTGTAAATAAGGCAACGTGTGGAGATTCCATCACCATGCTGCTGCTTCAAATTCTCCACAAACGTAATGGCATTGAGGTCCTTGTCCCCGACATTTTTCATCTGCAGAGCCACTTTTGCCCTGTCTTTTTTTTCTATTGCCTTGCACTTGTACTCCGGCATCACCTTCAACGTTGAGTTTTCGATGGGGTCGCCGAACACATTGTACGCCATATCTCTCTCAATTATGTCCCATGACCATAGTCCCCTTGTCTTAATGTAAGCTAGCCATGAGTCTTAGCTAGGAAAAAAGGTTTTCTTGCTCAAAGTTGTTTTGCGTACGTGCAAGTTACTCTTACGCTTGCATGAAGGAATATTGTTCAGAACCAATTGACAAATTAAGAATAGTTTTTCTTTTCTTTTCAAAAGAACTTATTAAAGATTACTCCAAGTATATATGCCAAGCAATACGTACTAGAATCAATCGGAGGGAAAAGCTCAAGGCCACCCTACTTTTCACTGTTTGTTTAAGTACTTAGAAAACTTAATATGAAAGTAAACAACGCTAAAGTACTAAATTGGATTGCTTTCTCAAGGCTCAATGTGTGTGCTTGGCAGTGTTCAGAGAAAAAAAAAAAAATTAATGTGTCAAGAATTTCTTAAAGTTTCTTAGA